TTTGTTGAATGGCGGAAATAATTATCCTGGTTATTCTTTGAATGACCATCATTTACTTACCGAGGGTGTTATGTATTCCCTGAAATTCAAGACACATACCAAAGTTATTACCATGCCCAATGACACCATTGTAAAGAGCGAACCTTGCAAGTTCTCAGAGTGTGTGACGAGAAGGATGGGATGAAGAAACAGAGGAAGTTGTGGTGGCGGATGAGGAGCACGTCCCTCATTTGGATGTGGCAGAAGTCTCATTAAAATCGGTTGTGAGGTTCACACCGAATTGCTATATAAACCTTCCAGAACAAATTATAGAGTGGGATGTAGTGGTATTAATAGATCGTGGAGCCACCCACTTCACCTCCACTTACGTAGTGGAGCAATTGGCGCTTGAGATGGTTGACACAGGAAGTTTTGTGGGAATGATGGGGACGAGCAGGTGGAGAAGTGCAAGGGAGTTTGTAAATGATTTATTTTGACACTGCAAAGTATTCAAGTAGTGATATAGATGATGATGTTATTAATATAATTCAAGTTCCATGGTTGAAGTGGAAGAATGAATTGGGCCTATTTTGTGATAGAAAAGTATCGCTTCAACTTAAAGGAAAATTTTATAAGATGGTGGTGAGTTTTGCAATGCTTTTTGACACATAATGTTGGTCTGTAAAAGATAAGCATAAAACTTCGTTAAGTCTTGCTGAGATGAGAATGGTTAAGTGGATGGGTGACTTTACACTTAGAGACAATGTGAAACGAATATATTCATGGAATGGTTGGTGTTGCTCTAGTAGACAAGATTAACGAGTTATCTTCGACGGTTTCATCGTACTAAGGATCAATCATCCGATGACCTAATTAGGAGAGTAGATCGGAGAGTAGATATTTTATATTTGACTTATATTAAGAAGGGTAGAGGTAGACCTAAAAAGACTTTGGCGTGCTATATAAAAATAGATCATAATTTATTAAAATTAAATGAAAATCTAACATTCAGTAGGTCACATTGGAGAAAAATGATTCATGTAGCTGACCCCACTTGGTGGGATAAATGCATGTTGTTGTTGTAGAGTATTTAGGTGGTGGTGGATTTTCTTCCATTTGATTTAACGAGCACTCACGCGGCTAAATGGTTGCAGTCCTTAGGGGAAATTAAGATGAATTGGAAACTTTTGACATCAGAGCTTTAGAAGGGTGACAAGATAATAGTGTTTGACGATGATCATAGTCCATGCAAGACTTTTGGTGATGCTCAAGATCATGATTTGGGCAATTCAGGACTTTGGGTTAGGATTCTTGGTCAAATTGCATGGCATGAAAGAAACATATGATATTGAGTTAGCAGAGATTTCGACACCAATCCAACAAGTCTTACGGTAGTTTGTAGAAGTTTTTTCAGTTGTTATGTGGATTGCCTTAGAGGGAACACAAGCATGTCATAACCTTGAGGCAGAAGGTTTCTCCTATCAGTGTGTGCCCATGTCGCTATCCCCAGATGCATAAGTATAAGATCGGGAGATTGATCTGAGATATTTTAGAGACCGGGATCATACAACCTAGCACAAGTCCCTTATCTAGTTGGTCTTGCTAGTGATGAAGGTGGGAGTTAGTTTTTTTGCGTGGATTATCATGAAGTGAATAAGAAAAAATTACGTGATAAATTTCTCATCTCGGTGATTGATGAGTGAAGAGTTATTTTGAGCAGTGATATTTTCTAATAATAAGGTGAAGTCATAATACCATCAAATTTAGATGTGACCATCAAATGTACACAAGACTACTTTTCAGACTCATGAGGACCATTGCGAGTGTTTGGTTATGCCACTCAGGCTCACAAATGACTTGAATACATTTGAATCATCGATGAATAAGATATTTCAGCCTTACCTATGGAAGTTTGTGTTGGTGTTCTTTGAGAACATCTTAATGTACAACTGTTTCTTGAAAGCCCATATTGAGCACTTGAAGAAGGTATTGACAATACTAAGTGAGAACCAACTCTACTCTAACTTGAGGAAGTGCTCGTTTTGCCAAACTAAAAGTGGAGTACTTAGGACTTGCAGTGTCAGCTACAAATTTTCGACAAATTGGATGTGCACAAGACTACTTTTCTGCATGTCATTCACTACGAGTTTCTAGTTATGTCATTCATGCTTGCCAACTCCCAGACTACATTCCAATCACCGATGAATAAGGTGTTTCAACATTTTCTTTGAAAGTTTGTGTTGATATTTTTTTATGACATTTTAGTGTACAACCATTCCTTTGAAGACCACATTGATTACTTGCAGGTGTTGAAGGTACTGAGTGAGCACCAACTTTATGCTAACTTAAAGAAGTGCTTGTTTGCCCAGCCAAAGGTGGAGCATTTAAGGCATGTGGTGTCAGTTGCAGGGAATTCAATGGTTCAATCTAAGTTGAAAACTATGCTAGCTTGGCCACCATCTAAGACCTTGAAGGGGTTGAGAGGATTTATGGGACTTACATGATATCATCAAAAGTTTGTGAAGAGTTACAATTTGATTGCATGACCATTGACAGAGCAATTGAAGAATGATAACTTTCAGCGGGGGGAATCGACAACTCAATATTTTCTGAAGTCAGAGAAGGCTATGACGAGTGTACGTAGTGCCGACATTACCTGACTTCAACCAACCATTCATTGTGTAGACATATTCATTAGGCTATGGGTTTGGAGCAGTCCTCATATAATGTTAATTATTCATTGCTTATTCTAGTCAAGTGCTAACTGTGAGGCCAAACTCAAGTCAGTTTCTGAGTAGGAGCTTATGGTGATTGTGTTAGTTATTCATAAATGACGACCTTATTTGTTGGCCAGTGTTTTACAATATGCATAGATCGTCACAACTTGAATTTTTTTTAGAATAACATATGGTAACTGAGTAACACCAAAGATGGCTATCTAAGCTATTGAGGTATGACTTTGAGATTCAGTATAACTCGGGATTAGACAGTAAGGTCGCTAATGCCTTACCACGACGGATGGTGAAACCTCAATTGTTAGCATTATCAGTCCATTTGGTTTTAGATTGTGAAGTCCTAAGGTAAGAGAGTGAGGCAGATGAGGAATTGGGCGAGATTCTGCTGGCTTTGTTGAATGGCGGAAATAATTATCCTGGTTATTTTTTGAATGACCATCATTTACTTTATCGGGGGTGTTATGTATTCCCCGAAATTCAAGGCACATACCAAAGTTATTATGAAAGTTGCACGATAGCGCTATCATGGGCATTCGGGCGTGCTCAAAACATACTTGAGGATAACAACATAATTGTATAGAGTGGGAATGAGAAAAGAAGTGGAGGACAACACAAGTACATAACAATAGCACTTCAGGGGTCGCTAGAATCTCTGGCATTACCAGTGAAGCTATGAGAGGATTTGGCGATGGATTTCATTGACGGCTTATCTTAGTCTGAAGGATTTACGGTCATCTTGGTGATGATGAACTTGTTGAGCAAGTATACTCACTTTGTCCCTCTGCATCATCCCTGTATTGTTGTTTTTGTTGTCATTGTTTTTACACGAGTGTCTATTTGTATGGGATTGCAAAATCGATAATGTCATAGCAAGACAACGTCTTCTTGAGTCCCTTCTAAAGAGAACTATTTAAAATAGAGTGGACCGTATTGAAGAGAAGTAAAACATGCCACCCACAAAATGATGGATAGCATGAAATTGTTTATTGGAGTGTGGAGATCTATTTGCATTGCTTTATTTTCAACACATTCAAGCAAGGGGCTAAATAGCTACACTGGGCAGAGTATTTGTACAACAGGTCATATCATACAACTTCTCATACCACTCCATTAAAATCTTATATGGTCGTGATCCACCTCATTTGGTCCATTATGGACATAGTACTGCGTCAATATTTTTGGTGGATCATTCTTCAGAAGAGAGGGACAAGTTGTTTATGGAATTGAATGACATTTATTAAAAGCTCAACATTTTATGAAGAAACAATCCAATGGACATTGAAGGGATGCACAACATGTGATAGGGGATAGGGCGTGTCTAAATTTTGACCTTGTCGACCAAAGGCATTAGCAAGACGCATGAATGAGAAGCTCTCCTCATGCTATTTTTGTCTTTAAAAGATCATTCAGCGCATTTGGTGTGCTTGCTTATCATTTAAAATTTTCGTTGACACTCGATCCAGTGTTCCACATATTACATCTAAGAAGTGCTATTGGTAATAATGTGTCATATTCTTCACTTCCTCTTACTTTGACCAAGGATATAAAAGTTCTCTTGGAGCCACTGGAGTTAAACGATTGCGCCGAAGAATCTACAAGCAAGAAAGAAGTGTTGATTTAATAGGACTTGCCCGATTATGATGCCACGTGAGAGCTATACGTTTTGATCTAGCACCAGTTTCCTCTTAAACCTTAAGGACAAGATGTCTTAGTGGAAGCGAAGTATTTTTTATCCACGTTTACGGCGCCTTCCGCCTTATGCTCCACTAAGCCGAGTGGTCTCACTGAACCCACATCGAGCCCACAAAATATTTTGAAGTCCTATTTTTGGCTCAAGTCTAAAAGGTCAATTTAGTCATGTATCAGTTATTAGTGTTTGGTATAAATAGGGCTTAATACAATTAGGGTTAGAGCATGTGTTTGTTATCTCTAATCTTAGTAGTTAGGATTTGGAAGAGAATTGTCTTCCTCTCGAATTATAGGCCTATCTTTTATGTATTTAGGATTTTGTTGTTTTGTGCCGGTGAAATAAAATATTTTATATTGTTTTAATCTCTGCAGAAAATTGTCTTGTTCCGATAATCATGGTTGTCATCCAACAACTCTTCTTCATCATTTATTTGTTCAACTAGAAGTAGATCGAAATTGGGTAGTAACTCTAATGATAGTCTCAATTGGATGTTCATGTAAACATCCTAGGAATACTTGCAATTAGACTAGTCCATTCTTTCTTCATCTATTTGGGTATGTGAGGCAACAACTTATGATGTGTCTAATTCACTAAGAATTTCTTAAATCACCTCTCATTTCAAATTAGAGTTGATGGTTTGAAGAACTTCATTAAACTATAAATGATGGAAAAGCCTTAAAAGATGCACAATGTTAGGTGGTATCTTATAAGTTTTTGAGAACTTTGGTCGCTTTAATACACAAATTGGGAGTTTGTCAGTTTTTACCCACATCTAACAATTTAATCACAAACACTAATCAAATTTATATCTTTGTATGTGAAGTACCATTCATCTGATTGATGATTAAGAGAATAGTCTTAATTTAAAGATGTATGCAAAACTATTACAATAATGTTATGTCAACATAATTTTCATCATTTCACTTTGGTTAGTTCAATTTCAACATCATCTTCTACATATGGGGAGGAATCCTTGCATACTTGGTTGGGGTTTTAGTCATTCGATGATGACACTACCCCTACAACGGACCGAGCAAACTTCCATTTGAGAGCCTTGAATGAAAATATTTTTGAAACATTGATGTTCCTAATCCTTCACAACTACTTCAAATGTCTTGTTTTGAGATTATCCTAAATTGGGCCTCTAACAAGGTAGTATCTTTGTATTATAATTGATCTTTTGGCCATTTCATTTCTAGTTTAAGAGCTTTCTTCTTTATTTTTTATGCATTTAAATCTTGGGTGCATTTACATACATACCAATCAATTCCTATGTATTTACATATCTTTCATGAACTTTACTTTTTATATTTATAACAACAACATCTTTCATTTAACATAAAAAATACAACTTTTTAACTTTAACAAGTGAAATACACATTTCATGCATAGGTGTTAGATATGCAAATATATATGTATTGATTGGTATGGATATAAATCTTTCATTATGCGACGTGATGCTACAAAGAGTAGGTTAAGTGCCATAGCCACGAGCTTTGCTCGACAGCTTTGTAGATGATCCTCCATAGACATCACTTAGGCTCTGTTTGAAGAAACTTCGCGGTTCAACGAAGCTCATTTGAAGAACATTTTGGCTGAAGGAAGAAGGCCCCTAGAATCTAAAATGACAAAAAATTATCATTCTATCGAAACAACTTCGGGACTCTTTCAAGAGACGCTGCTTCACTAAACAAAAATTTGTGCAAGCACTGGCGTTCAATGTAACACAACAGAGTTTCAACGTCTTCCCAACTGAAGCCTTATTGATCCCAACATCCACTTTGCGCTTGAACTCATCTTGCAAATATTTAAGGAAGATTTACATACGCGCCACTCAATTCCTATGTACTTATATTTCCAACACCTAAATTTTAATTTTTATGTGTGTGTCACCTTAAGTATGCATGAAAATGTATATTTCACCTTTTTAGAAGTCTTAAGGAAGATTTACATACGCGCCACTCAATTCCTAAGTACTTATATTTCCAACACCTAAATTTTATATTTTATGTGTGTGTCGCCTTAAGCATGTATGAAAATGTATATTTCACCTTTTTAGAAGTTAAAATAATAGTGATATTTTTGATGTGATATGAAACATTGAGGTGCATTCATACCTCTCAATTCTCATGTATTTAACTGGCTAACACCTAAATTTTATTTTTTACAGTAATACCACCCTAATCTTTCATATCAAATCACTATTTTAGTATACAATAAAAATATACTTGATCGGATCTTCCGTGAATCTAATGGTTTAGAGCGGGGCATGCTCCGCCCGGACGAGCCACAACGAGAATAGTTAAAGGCACCTAAAGGATGGTCAAATGATATTAGTCAACCGATCAAGCAGTTAACTCGAGGCCGACCAATCTGGATGATCAGTGGTCTATTGGTTTGAAAAGGGTTTGGGACGTAATTTTTATTTTACTATAATCATAATCCTCTATAAATAGATGATCATTTAATGTAATATAAGTTGTTGGATCCACATATTAAAATATTTCAAGAACATATCTGAGTTTAACATTTAACATTTGGCTATTAAAAAGTGGAATACACAACAGTATTAAAACGCAGGGCCTTAACACTTTTGCTAATGGTGTTATAAAATGTTGGAAAGCAATGGTATTGAATGATATATAGAATGGAGGATGACATTGATCGAAGTTGATTTATGATGTTGGCAATAGTCATCATATGGCAATGAAAGATGACAGATATTGGTATTGGCTGCTTGACGACGAAAAATGATGTTATTCCTTCGCATCAATCGATGTTGATAACAAATGTTAAAGAACGAGAGAGTTGTTGCAAACATTGATTTATTGCAAATGTGTGATAAATGATGATGGTCATCAACATTGTCTGTGGACATTGACATTAAACGTTAGTTCTTAAAAATGCTTCACGAACTGTCATATGGTATGAAAAAATTTTACATTAATGGTGTGTTTGGGCATCTGAGAGCCTTAATGAACCCAAAATCGAGCCATTTTAAAATCATAAAATCCATTTCTTCAAAATACACATTTCCATTAGAATAAACACTCAAATTTTCTAATCATGCTTTTATCTTCAATATAAATTTGTTGAAAAATGGAGTTCATGTGATCTCAAAATTAATTTTTTTTTAAAATTTCTAAAAATATTTGGGCACTTTGAGAAGGAAAGCTTGCATCAAAATTTATAATTAATCAGATAAATTTTTCTTTTGTTGATGTATAATAAATGATAGATGAAGCTGTATTATAAACAATGCATTTCAATTGCTTTCACCTACTCTAAATTTAAGGAATGTTTATAAAAAAAAATGTGTAATTTTTTTTAGCCTTATTGTAATTTGACTTTATATTTTCTCACTGACTAATTCATTTAAGAAAATTACATATAATTTTTAAATGTTAGGGGAACATGTTCGAATATTGTAGAACCAAATTCAGCTATGGCTCAAACCCGCTTCATGATATTTGAACCTTATCGGGATTATTCGAGCAAATTTTATGACAAAGGATCACTCAAGGCAAAGAAAGTCATTGCTAGGATGATGATAATGGTGTTGTGTTTGATTTGAAAATAAATGAAATTGGTGTAAAACACAACCGGTGAATCCAAAAGGGGCTAGCGGTAGGTGGTTGATGAAAGCAGTGTCTACGAAGGTGAGTGGGAGATGGCCAGCAGTCGCGGCGACAATAACCGTAATATACATGTTTTTAAAATTATTCAAATCTAATGAATTTAAATATACCATTTTTAATAAATACGAAAATTTTAAAAACTTTCATTTTCCATTTTCGCAAATTTTAGTTTTTGATTTCTTTGAAATATAGCAAAAAAAAATGAAACGTTGCACCGTTCATCTTTCCCGTTCGAATTCAATGATTAAACCCTAAAAAATAGCCCATTGAAGAGGTCTTCTCCTTTTTTTTGAACGGTGATGCGAAATTTTCTCAATACCGATAAAACCCGCCAAGATATCCACTGTCACGTCTGCTTCCTTCTTCCCAAACTGTGGTTTGGGAAAGAAAATTTTGCCCATTTCAGTCTTTTCTTCTTCTTCTTAATGAGCTTCGGATGTCACAAACAAGATCTTTTATATTTGGTTGAAATTCAGCCTGCTCATCAACATAATCAAAACATAAAAAAGTAATTGTTGTAATTTTTTTTATTCTCTTTAGGAATCTCTGGATCTCCCTTCTCAGCAGAACTGTCAAGGTGCAGCAATGGCCGGCTGTAAGCTTTTATTTTTTTATTTTTTTATTTTTTTGGTGATTTATGGCCGGCTGTAAGCTTTTATTTTTTTATTTTTTTGGTGATTTAAAAGGTTCTATTTTGTTAGGTTTTGTTTATGAAGGTACGACTGATGGTCAGTCATCTTTGTTGAATTCTTTCATTTTTCTGGTTTTGAGATTGTTGTTCACTAATTTTGTTTCTTTTTATTGTGGAATTAATGTTCTTGGTTTGCGTTTCAGTCTTTGCTGAACTTATCGTTAAATTCACTTGTACAATTGTTGAGCTTCGAATTTAGGATTTAGGGTTTTATAAAACGAATGATGCAGTCTTCACCATTGTTTCTTGCTCTCACAACCACTTTTGTTTGCATTCTCAGAGACAGAATCCGACAGAATGAATTTCTCAGAAATAACAAAAATGGTCGTCGAGCGAATACAGAAACTTGAACGACAAAATTTCAAGAAAATCATGGGGATTATTCTGTTAAACGATCCAACAGAAATTGAGATGTTGCAGCTAGCCAATGGCCCTGAAAGGACATTGATCTCCACCATTGAAGAAGTCAAAACAATGCTCGGAAACTTACAAAATTCGCGCTCAGTCTCATCCCCTCTTGCATTTCAAATCCCTCCTGAATATTGGAATCTCCGGACTCCTTCCGATTTAGGTCAGAACACAGATTTCGCTCCCCGAACGTACCAAGATTCGGTCCAAGAAGAATGCTCCCTTATCGAACAACCAAACTTCTTTACTTCAGATGAGAATTACCACTCAACAAGAAGTAGGAGATCTCCGAGTCTTCCTGAATTTCCCACAGGAACATGCTATTACTACTATAGAGGATACTGCAAACATGGAGGGAACTGCAGATATTTCCATGGGCCATCTCATTCACGGAGTTTCAGCTCGTGCTTGAATGAGTTGCAGAGTAAGGATCATGGCTGCTCTCTCCGGTCTCTTGAGAAGCTGGAAACAGAGATCACAGAGCTCTTGAGAGCTCGGAGAGGGGTACCCGTTCCGATCGACTCATTACCAAGGCTGTATTATGAGAAGTATGGGAAGAATCTTGAAGCCGACGGGTATTTCATTGAGAGCCAAAGGCATGGGAAGGCTGGATTCAACTTGACGAAGCTGCTTGCTCGTTTGAAGAACAGTATCAGACTCATAGATAGGTAGGAGTGTCGATGAGCCGAGCTTCAGTGAGCTCGGTGTTTGTTCATGTTATGCTCGTTCAATTTTTTCTATTCGAATTTGGCTTGTTAATAGTGTGTTCATGTTGGTTCATGGACACAAAAACGGTGTTTAATTGAGAGTGTGTTGATTTCCCAAACTTTATATGTTTACTATATAGTAACCTTTATGTGCATTTTAGGCCTCATGGTCAGCATTCAGTCATCTTAGCAGAGGCTGCACCGAAATATTTGGACAACAGGAATGAGAGGAATGAAGCACGATTTACAGCCATGGGTTCTCATAAGATTTACCTCACTTTTCCAGCAGAAAGCTCATTCACATTAGAAGATATTTTCAATTACTTCAAGTACATATTTTTCTTCATATTCCTTGTAGTTTCTGATAGTCTGAAAGCCTGTCAGACATTAACAATAATGTTTTCTATTGATGTTATCTTTGCATTAGGCAATTTGGTCCAGTAAGCGATGTGAGAATTCCTTACCAAGAAAAACGAATGTTTGGGTTTGTCAGCTTTGTTTATCCAGAGACAGTGAGTGAAATCTTGATGAAGCAAGTTCCTCACTATATTTGTGGCGATCGGGTCTTCGTCAAGCCGTACAGGTACAAATTAAGGATGATTGATAGGTACAAAATTTTAGGGCCGTCTGACATCACTTTTATTTTATGATTTTGTTTTAGTTTTCACTTTTGTTTTTGAAATAACTACCAAAATCAGACATGATTCAATTTAAATCAAAACATAAATAAAATAAAATAAAAAATATTATTAATAAATCGAAAGCAAGAAATTGACCGTATGGGATCACTTTTGTTTTTTATTTTTATTCTTATTTTTGTTTATGTTATTATTTTAAAACGAAACATGTTTGAAATGATATAACATTTTTAATTGTTTTTAACAATACTCAAAGCAATTTTTAGATGTTTTGAGTCTTTTTTTCAAAAAAGAAAATTGAAACAAAAATAAAAATATAAGAAAATGCATTAAAAGACATGCTTTTTAAAATAAAAGCAAAAAAAAAAAAAAAAAAAGTGGTCCCAAACAAGGCTTAATTTTAGTTTTTGGGAGCTTATATATGTATTCTCATATGTATTCACTCTCATTTAATCATTGTTCTGTTCATAATACAGGACTCAAGCTGAAAGGAGCAAATCTGCAACTAATCATCCATCGCACTATGTTGATTTTGATTCAGAGTTTCGACAAGGTAAGAAATTTGCAATTCCAATTTTGTTCTACTGTATGTCTAGTTTGGTTTTAATCAAGCATTAACAATGTTCTTAGGAATTTGAAGGTTTTAGGGGGCTTAAAATGAACTTTGAGGAGCGAGAAAAGCTGCTAGAACTCGACAGAATGCACCTATCCAACTTCAATTTAGAACAAGTGCCACTAAACTAGCAATCCAACTTTGACCATTCTGTTAATAACTTAAAACTACCGGGTGTGAATATGTTGTATCTATGCCATCTTATTTCAAGTGAGAAAGATAAAAAACATCTTTATAAGTAGGGAAATTTACATATCTAGGACTTAATTGAATGGTCATTTCATTGATGAATATGCGTGTAAATTTACATAAGTAGTGCTATGTGTGTAAATTTGAATAGAAATAACTGTTCTTAAAATCTAATCATTTCATTGATGGCTTGGGCTTATATAGAGCCCTATAACATTTACAATTAAATTTCTAGACTTCTCCTATTTACAAATAGAACTCTACATTAGATACAAATCTCAACACCAAAAGATATCCACTAAGCCCATCTTGTCATACAACTTATACAAACCTGATGAGCTAAGTCCTTTGGAGAGGCAGTCAGCCACTTGCTCTCCAGTGGCTACATGACTTATCTTCTGTAGTTCATTATTCAGCTCTACATTAATAAAAATTCTATCAATCTCCACATTTTTAGTTCTATCACGTTGCACCGGGTTGTTGGTGATACTGATTGTTGACTTGTTATCGCGCCATATTTCATTTGAGCTCCTGCTCTCCAGTGGCTACATGACTTAGCTCCAGTAGTTCATTACTCAGTTCTACATTGATAAAGATTATATCAATCTCCACATTTTTAGTTCTACCACGTTACATCGGTTGTTGGCGATACTGATCGTTGACTTGTTATCACGCCATATTTCATTTGAGCTCTTTGGTCCACCTTGAGCTATACCAACAAGGCTCTCAGCCACATCATCTCGGCAACTCCTAAGGCTAGGGATCTATACTCCGCCTCTGCTGTTGACCTTACTACTACTGATTGTTTCTTGCTCTTACAAGTGACCAAGTTGCCCCCTACGAATATATAGTATCCAGATGCGGGCCTCCTGTCATCAGTACAACTCGCCCAAATAGAGTCACATTAGCCCTTAATGCTTACATGCTCATTCTTCCTAAAGCTCAACCCCTTCCTTGATGCACTCTTCAAGTGTCTCAGAATCTGATACACTGTATCTATGTTGCCTTTCCTTGGATCATGCATATGGCGACTCACCACGCTTATCACAAATGATATGTTGGGATGAGTGCGACTCAAATAGATGAGACGACTCACCAATCTCTTATATTTTTCGCGATCAACTGGCTCTCCTGTCTCTGTGCTCAACATTTTCTTCCGAACAATTGGTGAAACTACAAGCTTGCATCTCACCATGTCTGCTCTGTGAACAAGTCTAGCACATACTTCTTCTGAGATAAAACAATATTTTCTACTCCACGAGCCACCTCAATCCCAAGTATCTAACTTGTTCTAAGTCCTTTATCTCAAATTCTTTGCCCAATTTTATCTTCAGCTACGCAATCTTTTCCTCATTATCACCAATGACTATCATATCATCTACATACAAGGCAAACATAATAATGTGACTGACATGTCATCAAAAGAATATTGTGTGGTCAACGTTGATCTGTTGATAGTTCATGCTTATCATTACTCTCTTGAACCTTTTCGACCAAACTCCAGGAGACTGTTTCAACCCGTATAATGATTTTTTATGTTTACATACATTGCCATTTGTTTGGTTGTACCGAAGCCTGGGGATATCTCCATGTTCACCTCCTCTAACACATCTCCATGAAGAAATACATTCTTCACATCCAATTGCTGTAACCTTCATCCACCATTTACAGCTAGAGAAACGAGTATCCTATCATGCTACTCTTCGTCACTAGTGTTAATGTCTCGTCATAATCGATGTCATATGTCTGACTATACCCTATTGCCACCAACTGTGCTTTGTAGAGATCAATTTTTTTTGTTTAAGCTTGAGGGTATCTCCATGTTCACCTCCTCTAATAGATTCTCATGAAGAAATGCATTCTTCACATTTAATTGGTGTAACATTCATCCACCATTTACAACCAGAGAAACGAGTATCTTGATCGTGCTCCTTTTCGCCAATTGTGCAAATGTTTCATTATAGTCGATGTCATATGTCTGACTATATTCTTTCGCCACGAAACCTGCTTTATAGCGATCAATTTTTCCTTCTGAGGTATGCTTCACTGTGAAAACCCATTTGCGCATGACTGTTTTTTTCTCTATTGGTAGTAACGCGAGCTCACACGACCTCTTCTTCTCGAGAGCGCCATGTTCCTCCAACATGGCAGCCTTCTATTTTGGATCCTCTTTAACTACCTCCCAATATGAGACAAGTCTTGCTCAGGCGTTCTACTTTTTCACAGTTGTAGCATGTGCGGATGTCCTCTTGAGCATTTGTCATACCTGAGCGCAGTGTAGCCAAAGCTGATCGCAAATCTAGAAGTCCACTCAACTGAGCCGAAAGACGTGCTGAAGTGACTCCCGTCGAGACACTGCCTCCTTGCATGCGCCCGACCAAGACCTTCAGAACTTCAGGATTCATCTTCCCCGGAACTTCTCTCCTTCCTCTTACTGACCTGATCTCGCTCTATCTCATCATCAAGATCAAACTAAATTTAGCTCTTCTTTGCTTCGTATGCTCGATCTGAAGCCCTCACCAGTTTCTGTTATACGCGAAGCCCCCTGTTCCGTCACTCGCGCGACGCAGAGATGCCGAAACAATTCCCCTCTGCTTCATGGAAAACAAAAGAATCGCCATGTACGAAGACCTTCGAAACTTCCAATTATCGTGATTAGGGTTCGCTGGAAAGCAACGACGGGATCACCAATTTCCCGTCTTCCGAAGCTGCAAGTTGTAAGAGTTCATTCTGCGATGCACGGGCTACACAGACCTACGTAGTTCTCCTCTTTCGCTTCTTCTGCACTCGGGTAGAGCAGCGACTGGATCCCTGCACTGCATCACAGACTTAGGAAGAATTTGCTCCGCCTCCCTACTCGCGCCGGTAAGCTGTAACCCACGAAGCACGAGATCGCGACTAGCTTGGGAAGCAGCCACGGGATCGCAACGCAGAAGAGCCACGAAGCTCCCATCTTTTCTCTGAGAGAAATTATTATGACGAAGCTCCCATCTTTTCTCTGAGAGAAATTATTACGCAACACCAAGTGCGTACTCCAAGTAATATGATCATGTGTGTTACATCAGGCCCGTTTTCTCCGGAGATTATTCAAAGGATACCTGGGGTTATTGAAAAATTAATTTTAATGATGTCGCTATAATCTCTTAATAACCTTCACTATTATACTCTCAATAAACTCTACGGTTCCGCAATAATCTCATAATAACACCCCAATAACCCCCAATAATCTCCGCTCTCAGTATAACTCTCACAATAATCTCATAATAACAGCCCAATAACTCCTCAATAATCTCCGCGGTTTCATTTCAATAATCTCCCAATAATATCCACGTGGCGGCATATTACTGGAAGTCCGCACGCAGAGCTGCATAAGTGCTTTGTATGGAATAATTTCTCCGGTGCAGAAGGATTCTCGAAATTTGACTTGGCATAGTCCGCACGCAGAGCTTCATTTCAATAATCCCCCCTCTCAGTATAACCCTCACAATAATCTCATAATAACAGCCCAATAACTCCTCAATAATCTCTGCGGTTTCATTTCAATAATCTCCCAATAATATCCACGTGGCGGCATATTACTGGAAGTCCGCACGCAGAGCTGCATAAGTGCTTTGTATGGAATAATTTCTCCGGTGCAGAAGGATTCTCGAAATTTGACTTGGCATAGTCCGCACGCAGAGCTTCATTTCAATAATCCCCGCTCTCAGTATAACCCTCACAATAATCTCATAATAACAGCCCAATAACTCCTCAATAATCTCTGCGGTTTCATTTCAATAATCTCCCAATAATATCCACGTGGCGGCATATTACTGGAAGTCCGCACGCAGAGCTGCATAAGTGCTTTGTATGGAATAATTTCTCCGGTGCAGAAGGATTCTCGAAATTTGACTTGGCTTGGCTTCCATACCAAATAGAAGTAATTTTTCTTAAAATCTACTCATTTTATTGATGACTTGGGCTTATAAAGAGCCTTACAACATTACAATTAAATATCTAGATTTCTCCTATTTACAAATAGGACTACATTAGATATAAATCTCAACAATATTAAAGTTTAGGTGTGAGATATGTAGATACATAAGAATTGCGTGCTATGTATGTAATGGCTCCTTAAAACTAATAATTTCATCAAGTCAATATATTTTTAGCATTATCTCTCTATTGTAGGCGAATTAACCTAGGAATGTTGGCTGAAAGGTAATTTCAAAGTGATAAGAAAGTGATGGTCTTGAATCCTAAATTGTCCGCGAATCAGAGTAAGCAAAAGAGCGTAAGACATGAGAGAGAGATATAGAGAGAGTGTGTGTGAGAGAGATAGATGATGCACCTAATCATGTGGGTCGATTGGTCTTACGATAGTAGGCCCTTCAATCTTCCGCCAGTAGGTCCTTTGGTCTTCCACTAGTGGACCATTATTAGTCGTACTTCTTTGTCTCCACTTCCATTGGAACTCCTTGAGATCCATGCTGACGCGTTTCTGATTTACAAGTATCTTTATATCTTTTCTGATATATATCAAAGGGATGATGCAAAAAAAAGGTTTTGAAATTCTCATCTAATATAATATAAATGTCAATTTTCCTATGAATACTACTTAGTAGTCTGAACATATTTTGAAATTCTCATCTAATATAAAATATTTCTACTATTCATGAAACTCACAATTGCCATTCAATCTGTTCATAAGGTTCCAATTTGGAAAGCGAAGCATTATTCTCTTCTCACTCCTACATTTTTGTATTGCTGTTCCAGAAGAATTTCCATTGGATGAGCATTTCTACGATAACTTCGAAGCTCTAAACATTCCCTATCCTACTGACGGCAAGACTAGAAATACAAGCAAGGGTTAGAGTACTCTGCAGAGGTAAGAAAATAAATAAATAAATTGGTCCTAAATTGCTTAAAGTACCCTTTTCGCCTAGTGGAAATTTATGTAAACATCTTCTTGGTTGAGCTTTGCATCATACCCCTGAAAGTTCTCACAATGGACTCGGCTTTAATGCTTTCTTGTCAGTGGTTTCAAAGTTTCATCAACAAATTTGAGAAAAATTTCATTACTTAACTAATTATTATTTAGTTCGTTTTGTTTTAATCAAACAAATAAGGGATAATTATATAAACGGCACCCAGAACATCGATGTTTTACAAATCAAGCGCCAAGGTGATATATTTGACCCATTGAACCGTGCGTTTACTCGTGTCACGATCAAATCATTGAGAATTTGAAAAAAATGAAGAATATGGGTTTGGGTTTTATCATATAATTTAATATTTGAGTGAGAATTTAAAAATATGGACGAAAGAGAGTGCTTGATTTATAAATAGCAATATTTCGGGTAATCTGTATGTAATTGCCCCAACAAACATTTTATGTTGCTCAAAACTTCTTTTTTGTTATTGCAGGGATCAAATTGTGCTCCACGAGAACTCCTTCGCATAGCCGCCACTAACAAGCACTAATATCGACCGTTATATAGAGTTTAAGAGAAGCAAAACCACACAAATCAGAAAGAAAATAAAGAAGAAAACAGGTCAAATTATCAGTAAACATTCTTCACCAGTCATAGTTAATCTTAAACCAGAGTTACATTTATGCTAAGAAATGAACAGAAGTGACTGATAATAGTAGACACAGAAGGTATATAGCTTAATATGTATAGTTTAATATTTATAACTTCATAAATAAATGCCAATATAACCTTTGGGCACTCTTTTCTTCGAGTTAGTTTACTAATTACATCATCATTCTAAGAATCTGCTCTTCATGAAATTATGTCTGTTGATTATAGTTTTACTGCTCAGAATCATACTCTGCTGCTGTTGAATTGATTTTGATGGAATTGAATATTACATTTTCTTCCCCAAACTTTATATAAAGTTGCATTTAAGTCCATCACTTTTATATATATGGAGGGTTTACATAGATGCCATTTAATTCCTATGTATTTACATATTATTATGTGTATACGAAAAATTCGATGGCACTAATCTCAGAACAATCCAACAGTCAGGAGAGGATGATTGTTTGAAGACTAGGAGACCGGCTAGACGCGACACATCCTTTAACCTCAAGCCAATCCAACAGTCAGGAGAAAGGATGATCGCTGGAAGATCAGGTGATTGGTTGACACTATAACACGAATCTTGAGACAATCTGACAATCAGAGAAGAATGTACGATGGAAGGTAGACTGGCAGATCAGTCATACATGGGGTCATTAGATTAAGCAGCAACCCTGGGGTCAGGTCATCATCCAAAGGCGGGCCAAAGGGTCGGTTTACCTTTAGATATTACAACTAGTTCATTGCTGAACCAATCGAGTAGC